AGTGTCACACGATTGGGTATTTGCCAAAATTTGGTGCAAATCGTATCCTGTGAATACCCAAATGTTTTTCTTTATCCCAATCACGAAAATTAATTTGTTGAAATTTTTCAATAGAACATCGCTATATTGTACCAATCTTTTGACTACAAAAAAAAATCCCATTTTTTTTATTTTGCACCAATAGCTCAATATAAAAATGTACTAATCTGTACAAATGTACCAATCGAGTGCCACTGCCTTAATTATTAATAATATTAATAATAATTAAAAACAAATTCAACAAATTTTCGTAAAAATTTCGAGTTTTTAAATTAGATTCGGAGTATGCTGTTTTGTAGCCCATTTAATTCTAGGAGAATAAAGTACAAGTTTCAAAGGGCTAAAAACTACGATTAAGTTTTTAGAATTAAAAAAAGCTCTAAATTTGTACGAAAGTTTCTTCCATTTTTTTTTAATATTGCACAAATTTGGAACTTTGGATTTACACGGGTTTTGTTAAAGAATGAACTATATTATTATAAAAAAATAACCAAGCCTAAATAACAACGAAAATAATACGCTAAAACTTGGCTATAATTTTTTTACCACTATATGTATTTTTTAATATCTTTAATTAGACATGCACATTGTACATAAAGGAAATACATAACAAAATAAAAATATATATGCCTTTTTACTCTTTTTTCAAATCTCATTTTGCCTTTTTCAAGTTTTTAGTTTAGTAGTTTAGGGGTCAGAACACCTACTGATACAGGAACCGTGGACCTACAGAGGCCAGGTGAGGGGCCTCAATCATAACAACAATAAGGTAATTTGGGACCTCTCCTGCGAGAGGCCCAGAGCGTGCGTAGTGCTGAAGAATAATATTAATTATTTTTGCATTACAGAATTTCTTACACAGGATCTGGTAGTGGTCCAAGCTACTTTATAGGTTAACGGGAGGGAACTAGAGGTGATCTTGGCTGCAGCCTACTTTCCGGGGGCCAACGCCAATGTGCCGTCTCTTGAGGTACAGCAGCTGTTGGAATTCTGCCGCAGGAGACCACTTTCTGCGATTCTCGGCTGCGATGTGAACGCCCACAATATAGAGTGGGGCAGGTCGGATACGTAGGGGTGAGTGCCTATTAGAATACATAATCAGTGCATCCACAATGTCGGTAATGAACCAACGTTAATAACTAGGGTCAGAGAGCAGGTACTTGACATCACTCTCAGCAACAGACTGGCCAGTCCACTGATCGCTCAGTGGCGGGTCTCATCTGAGCCTTCACTGTTGGATCACAGGATTATCCGATTTGCACTAGGAGCTGAGGTTCTGACAGATCACCCAAAGAGAAACCCCAGGAAAACAGACTGGGGTAAATATGTAGAGGTATTTAGGTTGAACCTAACCAGGATAGAGGCACAACATAGAAAGGTGGGTTGTATGGAGTTAGAGGACAGGGTCAACAAGCTGAACGGCACTATTTTGGATGCCTTTACCTCCAGCTGTCCCGTGTCAAAGCCAAAGGGGAAAGCTCAGCCTCGCTGGTGGTCAAGGGAACTCTCAGTTCTTAGGAAAGAGGTGCGAAGACTTTTCAATAGGGCAAAGCGCACCGGGAAAAAGCGCACCGACAAAATACAATAAGGAGATTAGAAAGGCCAAGCGTAGGAGTTTCAGGATCTTTTGTGAGAACATCGCATCTACTCCTGCAGCTGCTAGGCTAAATAAAGCCTTAGCAAGAGACAACACAGAGACCATAATGGCTATTAGGCTACCTAATGGGACTTTTTCCGGTACTGAACAGGAAAGGGCACTCGCCCTGCTGTCGGCCCACTTTCCGGACGCCATTTCCACCGCGGGGATACGATGTTCCGTGCGTTCAGGCCATCCCCACCGGACTGGAAGCTGGCTAAAAACCGGCAAACAGTGCGGTGGGCTTTGGACTCCTTCGAACGGTACAAGGCCCCTGGGGTGGATGGTGTATGTCCTGTGTTGCTGAAGCAGGGCGGGAAACTCTTACTTCCACATCTTGTGGATATTATGAGGGACAGTCTAGCACTGGCCCACATTCCCAAGGTGTGGCAGAGGGCCAGGGTCATCTTTAACCCGAAGGTAGGTAAGAGAGGTTACTCTCTTGGCAAGTCATTCAGGCCCATATGTCTCACATCCTTTATGTTAAAGGCATTGGACAAAATTATTGGCCATGAAATCAAGTTTAACACTCTGAAACAAACCCCTCTGCATTCCAATCAGCACGCGTAAAGGGTGAATGGATCCACGGATACTGCGCTGTATGCCTTAACGGAGGAAGTACAAGTGGCCTTTGAGTGTGATGAGGTGGTGCTCTGTGCCTTCCTCGATATCGAGGGAGCCTTCGATGACGCCTCCCATTTGGGAGTCGACAGAGCTCTTGAGAAACATAGCGTTCAGCCAACCATCCGAAGATGGATAACAAGGTTACTTCAGACCAGAATCGCCGAAACTGAAGTCGGTGATAGCGTCTTTCAAATACAAACGACAAAAGGGTGTCCGCAAGGGGGGTATTATCTCCTCTACTGTGGAGCTTAGTTGTGGACGAACTCCTACAGATGCTTACTAACGAGGGCGTCCGTTGCCTAGGGTACGCGGACGACATAGTGATTATCGCTAGAGAAAAGTTCGCTAGTACTCTCTGTGACATCGTCCAAAGAGGTCCTAACCTTGCAAAAAGGTGGTACGCAGACGTACGTTTAAATATCAACCCTTCTAAGACAGCTATAGTCCCCTTCACCAAGAAACGAAATCTCCAGGGGATGAGGAACTTGACCTTGGACGGGGTTGTAATCACTGTCGCCACAGAGGTTTAGAATCTGGGGCTTACCCTGGACTCCAAGCTTCTGTGGAGGGCCCATGTTGATACGGTCACCTCTAAGGCCACGAGAGCGATGATGGTGTGCAAACGTCTAGCGAGTAAATCCTGGGGGTGCACTCTGAGGATCCGCAGATGGATATACACCATGATAGTGAGACCTATAGTGACTTATGGTGCGGTGGCTTGGTATTATAGGACTACTATGCGAACGGTGAGGCAGACCTTCTCTAAGATTCAACGTTTGATATGTGTTTGCATTGCGGGAGCAATGCGCACATGCCCGACGGCAGCGCTGGAGGTAATGCTGGAACTCGAGCCACTGCATCTCTCAGTTGAACAGGCTGCAATGCGAACCCTCCTTAACTTTGCGAGAGAGGGCTTCGGCAAAGGCAGTGTTATCATCTAGGAACAGGGACAAGCTAGGTACCCATCTCCCCCTGGCTTTGTTCCCCAGGGACGATATTAACGGAGAAGTGGTCTTCAAAAGAAATATCAGGACCCACACTTATAACAAGGCGACCTGGTGTACCTCTATTATGGAGAGTCACATACAGGCGAGCACAATACAGTGGTATACTGACGGCTCTAAAACACCTGCGGGGATTGGAGCAGGCGTGTACGGTTCCAGGCTGAAGCTTTCGGTGCTTCTGGGAACCTTCCCTAGCATCTTTCAAGCGGAGGTATATGCCATCAGAATGTGCGCTGAGATTAACATTAGCAGCAACTATAGGAATGAAAGGATACTTATACTAAGTGATAGTCAGGCGGCACTTATGGCCCTCTCATCATTCGAGATCAAGTCCTCCTTGGTTTTGGTGTGCGTCGAGAGGCTTAATGCTCTGTGTGGGTACCAGGGCACATGGAGGTTGCAGGAAATTAGGAAGCTGATCATCTGGCCAGAATGGCCGCTTCCTCGACCCCGATAGGACCTTAGCCCTTTCTGGCAGTGGGACCCAACACCATAAAACAAAAATGCTCAGAACGGACAATTGCAAACTGAGGGAACTGCACTGCCGTGGCACTATGGGTCAACGTCAGGCAAAAAACATATTAGGACTCCCCTACACCTTCTTATGGAGTATGAGGCCGTTGCACGCAGGAGGTATAGGAGCATAGGGCACGTCTGGCCATGAGAGGAGCAAATACACTCACTTTCCCTGGGGTCTATTATGAAATTTATAGACACTCTTGGTCTGGTTGAGGTGTTGTGATAATAATAATAATAATAAACCAACAACAAAATACACACAGCTTGCTGTTTTTACCTGTCCAATGTGCCTTTCTGAGAAGTCAATTTTCAAATTTTGTGACGAGAGAAGAAACTCGCTGATTGCTGATTGTAAGAAGGATTGTATCTTCAACATAAGACTCTAAATTAGAAGGCAACCAGGAACAATATCATAAAAGCAAAGAAGTTCTTAAAGTTTGGAAGGGGAGTGGATCCCTTCAAAGATACGCTTTGCAATTCAGCTCGTTCCGGATGCTATTCACAGCATTGTGCTTTCCGAAAATAATCCGTTGAATAACACTCGTCCTTCAAAAGTAGTTGGATATTTTCATCATGTTTCCCTGCCTAGCAATGTGTGTAACAAATTCTGCTGACTATGGCGGTATTACTAAATATTTATGTGGTGCTTTAACAAAAGATCAAAAAATATATTCCAAATAAAGATACTGTTTCGGCGCTAATAAATTGAGGATCATTAAACATTTTTTTTTTTAAATCCTCTACCTTTAGTGAAAAAAATTGGCAAAAATATTTTTTTGCCCCGTATTCGGCTGCCATAAATATGGTCACCGTACCTATAGGCGTTGACAAGAAAATAATGTAGGCAAAGCCAGCTTCTATGACAGTGTTTTGATAAAAATGCCATTATCATTACTCTTTCACATTCCAAATTCTTTTGGTCTGCAAAATTACATGAGGGATTTGGAATTTTGTCGCCTTTTCGTTTGGAAATATGTCAGTCCTTATATAGTGACATAACCCCAAGTAAAAAAATTGGGTTTATGTCACTATGCAAGGAGTGACATAATCCCCAATTTTAAAACTGGAGTTATGCCACTTGAGGCTATGTCATGACACCGATTTATGATACGACTAGTTCTGAGTACTTATGAGTTTATGTACATATGTATTTATGTGAAACTTTTAATTGTAAATACCCTAAATTTCCAGTCGTAGTTTTTTTTAGCGAACTTCAAGTTATCGTAGCCGTCTTCGCCACCTTGCAACTGTATTGGAAAATGAAAAAAGAAAAGCTTTAGAAATATTATAATGGTACTTATCTAACCGTGTAAACTTACGAAACGCGTAAACTTAAAAGTTTGCACACGGTGTTATATGAATGCACCTCATTAAACAAAATGTAAGAACATGTAAAAATCTAAAATGCATTATTTATGTACAAAACGATTATCTCATCTAATTTAAAAATGTTGAATATTTTCGGTAAAAATTATATTGAGGCTCATTTCATTTGCATTTTGCACATTTAAAAGGTTACCATCAAGTTTACGTGTCAAAATCATTGTGTAAACTTGTATTATGTAAATACAGTTGCATACACATTTTGATGGTTTACGAGTTTACTAACTTACACGTTTTATGAGTTTACGAGGCTATTTAAGCAGTTAAATGAACACCCACTTTATATTTTTAGGATATACCAGGAACCATTAACTCAAATGGGCAAACATCCAAAAATGCAATTAGTAGAGTAACAAATTTAAAATCTTTTTATAGCATTTTATTTTAAATAATTTTTAAAACCAATTCATTCTTTTGATATATTTGAACGAAAGCAATTGGAGTGTGAAGTATATACTAATTTTGAAGATTTAGTGTTACACTATTTTGTAATCAAGATAATTTCAAAAGACCCCCAATTTTGTATATTAAGCTCGCTGTAACGAGTATACTT